ACATCAGCAATCCAAAAGAAAAGAGAAAGAAAGCTCAAACCTTTCTGCAGCATGTTAAGATCCTTGAGCCCTCCAAGAGCGGTGCATCTATCCCTGCCCTCTCCAAATCCTGGCGCCTACCACACCCAATGGTGTGTGGGACGAGGCTATTGCCACTGGCCAGCATCGCTCGGTACAGAATCTCGCCTTAGCGGCCAAGAAGATTTCCCATTTAGCCCTAAATTCTGACACCTCTTCATCTGGCAATTGGATGATTTTATCTGACTCATTCATTTTGACAGCATTTAATGAGCCAGCTGAGGCAAATGATATACACTTCTAGGAGTCACTGAGGTATAGAAGTATCTGTGCTGATATCCTTGATCACAGAACTTTGGATATCTAAAACTATTCCCATCCAAAAGTTTTACTTGATCAATCACCATGGATAGCATATGATTTTCCTCTCCTTCCTTAATATTGAACCACTGAACTTTAAAAATAATTCTCTTGAATGATCTAAACTTTACCTCATAAATATAAAAGGTATCTATAATAATAAGAACGAATAACCCAAACCCCTGCAGCCGTCTGGGGCAGCCTCGGAAGCCATGGTTCTCAACAAGGGGAGGCCAGCTTAGGCTTTGGCCAGGGCCGGTGGCCATGGTTAGCGGGAATATTGGCTCAATGTTGTGGCGGCCAATGGGTGGGATGCATGCGTGGCAGGGAAGGGAAGAGGGCGTGGTGACATGTGTTATGCCATGCACTCCTAGGGCTCCATTGGTGCTCTGGTCGGACACGGTTGTGTGGGCATTTCCGGGAGAGCCTGTGCATGGTAAGTAACAGGGGCGGGTAGAATGGTAGTCGGGCACACAATCCAGGCTCCTCTTGGGATCAACTCAGGACTGTGAGAGGCAAATTGGCTCATCTCCAACTCAGCAAAGCTTTGATCCCTGTTTGCCATTGCCTCACGAGCTCTTTGGCCTGTAGGAAAGCAATTATCAAGGACACTCCCTCTTCATCCCTGGATTCTCTCGAGGAATCCCTTGTTGCTGGGCCTGGTGAGGGATTGTTGTTTCAGCACATGCTCGGGATCAACTCCATTTGTAGGAACCTGTTTTGAGTTGACGTAGGGCTGTCGAGTGGCTGTGCCAGCCAACACTGCTCCTGAAGTTTTGGAAATCTGACATGGCACTGATGTCTGGGTTCTCTCGAAAGAGAAGGAGAGAAGCAGAAGGTGCCACCGCAAGCATCCCGCCAACTGTTGGGAAAGGATGGGAAAGCTGGCATCAATCGATTTGTTGCAGTAGCCCATGGATAAAACTGTAGTCCATGGATAGATGTATGACATTATAGTCAGCATTCCAGAATCAATCCTAAGATAAATTTGTTTAGTATGATCATGTTAAACTAACAAAATTCACCTACATTGTCTGGAGTTCAGTCAAGCCTACAAATGATGGAACTGGCTGAGGAGAAAAGGAGTTGTTTCCAATGCTTCTGTTATGCATACACATGCATCAGGTAAACTCCAAGTTAAGAAGAAATATTACATTAGTTGGAGAGCTTTCAACCTGCTTAGATCAGGTAACGTTCCAGTAAAAGCATTATCATTGATGTGTCTGTAAATGAAACAAAACTTGAGTGCAAAGTAGTTACCATATTAGCTATTTACATTTCAAAGAGGGTTGATATCCGCCCCAAACTGCTCGGCAATGATCCAGCAAATCGATTTTTGTCAAGTCTCCTGAAAATACATCTCTGGAGAAGTTCCCGATGAAATTGGAAACTTTTCCAAGCTGACCATCATGTAAGTCATTGATGGCTAGAATACAATCTCGTGTAATAGAGCAGTTATTGTCCAGTAACCTGAAGGACAACAGGTCCAAAAACCTCCATGAAAATGAGAAAAATACGTACAAGTGCCTGAGTTCAGGTAAGAAATATATTTCTGGTGCGTCCACCTCTTTGTAAACCACCCAGCATTTGCTGGGCAAGTACTCGTAAAAAACTAAGATAGATCAAAATACATACCTGGAAAATCAATATGAGGTTGTTGTGGATTCCTTAACGTAATTATAATGCTGTCCATTGTTTTCTTATTTGCATCAATTTGAGAAACTCTAAAATGCTTTCCATTAATCTAATATACTGTATAACTCATGGCCTAAAATTTAAAACTAATTAATGATTAATTAATGTTAATTATGACTTTGCATCCATTACCCAAATCCTTAAAAACATTTGATATTGATTCACCTCTTTGAATAGTATATTGTATGATTTCATATATAATAGCCATAATAGGTAATAGTGGTAGCTATTTTAAATTTTCAGGAATCTATTAGTTTGGATGGTCAATAACATATTGCATTCTTGCATTATCTCTTTCAATTCTTGCTTGTTGATACTTTTGAAGGATAAGTTGCATTTCCTCTTCATTAAAGTAAATATATAGAGAACTATTTTCATATGCTTCTTAACTAAGTTGAATTTGTTTTCCTAGATGCTACAATCGAATACTACTATAATCAAATGGAGATATAAACTATGAAATACTTAAGCAAATTAGAACTAAAATATTATGCATATAAAAACTCTTTCTTAATAGCAGACCTTCAGCTATAGATCTTCAAGTTTTACTTTTTGTCTTACCAAAGATTTTAAAACCCTTAAATAACACTCAATAAAAAATATATTTCAGCTAGTTCTAGGACCAACCATCTTTAACTCATCAATTAACTATACTAATAAATGAACTTGTGTTGTCATAGCTGTTGTAAATAATGTTGCTTCCAATAAACACACATAAATGATAGACTTTTCTTTCATAATAGGTTTCAAAGATCTATCTACTTCTTGAGCAGTTTAAAATCTAATTAAAATTAAAATTAATTGAATTAAAAAAATTAAATCAATTATTACCATACAACTTCTCCAAGAAAATATATTGCATCCTGTAATTGAGGTGTTGTGTTTCCCATTATAAAAATGAGATAAAAATCCTACTAAATATGTTAATTTACGTTTTAGTAAATTTAGAAACTTATTTATAGTAAATAAAGCCAATTGTTTTCATACCTATTAAATTACCTTTCTCATCGACACAATTTGAAATTCAGTTCCATATGTTTTAAGCACTTTAAAAGCCTCTATATTATCAATAAATAATTTATTTTAATAATTTGTTAATGTCAAAATTCCATGCTTAATTTTTCCATCACATCACAACCATATGTTTTACTTTATTCTGCGCATAACTAAGTCTTTTCTAGTACTTAATTCATCAATTTTACCAGTAATAGTTTTATATATAGTTTGAAAAACATTCTTAAATATATGCATGTAATCCTTTAAAAATGCTACTGGCAACTTATAAAAATATAGAAGTTGATAAAATGTGAATATAACCATTTCATACTATTAGGTAACAATATTTGATCTTCTTGTCTAACCAAATAATAATATGTTGCCTAACGTTTTGGAGTCATTTGTCCTAGTATTGGTCAAATATAATTATGACCATTAAATAAACTAATTAAAATTTAATTTTAATTTATGTTTTAGAAATAATAACTAAAATCTTATATTCTATTAGTAGACCTAAATGGATGATCCATAGGTAAGAAACACCAATATCCAATATATATATGCATATTTATAAACTTCGTGACTATATTCCAAGGATCTAGGTCCACAGTTTAGGTAAAAGTATTTTCCTATTAATTTGAACTCCTGAATAAAATCATAATCCAAGAAAATTATGAATAAACTATCACATTGCTTCTCTAAGCTTAAAAAACTGTTAACCCTCTAACTTAGAATTATCTTTGCATGGCACTCCATCCCATAATTGTTTTAACTCTTCCAAAAATAATAACCAATAAATATTAAGTACCTTAGGAAGTTTTGGGCCTAGAAAAATTATAGATATAAATATTTCAATTTATTTTTTTAAACTAATACCTAGTATAATCATAATAAGGAATATAAATGAAGGCTTAATTGCTAGAGTTGGTGGTATATTATTATTAATTGCAACAATTGCCTAACATGAATATATTTTTGCCATTAATTTTGTTGGAGAAAGATCATCTGCAGCCATACTAAGATGTATATTTCTTGGATCTACTGCAAAATCTGGATAATCATCTTCGAATTTTATTTTAAGTTGAACCATCTGCAGGCATTTTCATTATTCCATTAGTGGATTGATGATAAAATGATAAGTTATATATTGTGTTATTTCTCTACATTGAAATTATTATTGAAGTCAAGGTATAATAGAGAAATAATGCATTATTTTCTCAGGTATATAATTGTTAAAATCTGTGTGCTTGCTAGCAATAGAAATTTGACAAAATTAAAGGTCCATATTCTCCTTATGAAATAACATAAAGTCATTGATGCATAAATCAATCTTTTTATAGGTAAGTCCATTATGTTTAGTGATATTTACCACTTCCTTATATATATTTGAAAATGTTTATTTGTAGGAAACATTTTAGTAACAGTTTAAAAGTTGTAAATTGCAACTCTAATTAGCAACATATATGAGCTTATCTAGCTTTAAAGAATATGTTACTACAAATTATTATTTATATTTTAGTTGTAAAGGACAACTATAATTTCCAACTTAAATTTGAGTAAGTATAAAGCTATCACTTAAATTTTGTAACTAAAGCCAATTTGCTACTAACATTAAATTGAGTTGATTACAACTTAGATTTCCAACAAACACAAAAAAATTGTTGGAAAAACATATCATTATAATGCTTTTACGGACTGGCAGAAGTCAAGTCTAAGTCTTCACCTGTCGAAGTCCACATTCTATCCACCGTGGCCAAAACATCACCACCAAAAAAAATTGTGCAAAAATCTATGTTATGTAATATAGTTGATAGTCCAGTATACCAATGGCAAATCCCAAGTCCCCCATTTATTGACTAGCAAGGCTTTCATCAAGGCCCTTTGCTAGTCAATAAAGTCAATAAAGTATTTTTACAATGGTAAATCCCAAGTCCCCCACTTTATTGACTAGCTCAATTGACTCGAAGTCAAGTGTGCCAGGAATTGATTAGCAAATGTGCGTGTAAACTCTGCAAAAAGAAGAACCTCATCTCGCACGTTCACTCTTTGATGTTCTGATCCATGGCCATGTCTCTCGCGGATTTGCTGCTGCCTTTGTTTCTACTCGTCTTTCTCACAAGATCCCGGTCACAGTGCCCCACAAATCCATCCGCAATCGTGAACGACACACAGGTTCTTCTCTCTCTCCGTGACAGGCTTGGCATCAAAGTGTGGATCGAGACTGCCAATCCAAGAGCATGGCGGGGAGTGGAGTGGAGCTCGGACAACCAAGTGGAGGGCCTCGCTCTGTCCAGGTTTAATCTCTCGGGAGTTTTTCCTGCCACCTGGGCCGAGCTTCCATCGCTGGCTCGCCTGGACCTCTCGCAAAACGGCCTCTCCTCGCTGGAAGTCCCTTGCAAAAATACGCAGCTCAACCTCCTCAACTTGAGCTCCAATTCCCTGCAAGAGTTCCCCGGAAATCTCTCCAGCCTCGAGAGTTTGGAAAGCCTGGACCTCAGTGGGAACAACTTAACAGTGGCCAGACTCCCAAAGTTTAGCTTGACGCTGCGATCGCTCAACCTGTCCATCAACAACTTAACTGGGAGCTTTTCCATTGGTGGTAACCTGGGACTGGAGACACTGGAACTCTCGCAGAACGGCCTCAGCGGCTCCATTCCAGAAACTTTCGGGGAGATGACGAACTTGACACGCCTGGACATATCGTATAACAGGTTTAGAGGAGATCTACCCGATATTTGGAGCAAGAACTTGGAGCTCAGGTACATGCGTATCTCCGAAAATTCGCTCCAGGGTGGTTTGCCACCGAGCTTGAGAAGGCTACGCAAGCTCTCGGAATTACGCGCTGCATACAACTCTCTCTCCGGGCCACTGGAGCTGGAAGATGGCGACTTTGCAAGCATCGAGGTTTTGCACCTCGGGCTAAACGGGTTTAGCGGAACGATCCCGGCTACGCTGGGAAACTTGAGGAACTTGAAGATCCTGGTTCTCATGGGGAATCGTTTTAGTGGCGCCATACCTCTGGAGCTTGGAAACTGGTCGAACATCAGAGAGATATGGCTCGACAGCAATAACTTGACTGGAACAATCCCAGGCGAGCTCTCGAAGCTCTCGCATCTCCAGAAGCTGGTTCTCAGGGGGAATCGTTTTAGTGGCGCCATACCTCCGGAGCTTGGAAACTGGTCGAACATCAGAGAGATATGTCTCGACAGCAATAACTTGACTGGAACAATCCCAGGCGAGCTCTCGAAGCTCTCGCATCTCCAAAGGGTGGTTCTCACGGGAAATCGTTTTAGTGGTGCCATACCTCCGGAGCTTGGAAACTGGTCAAACATCAGGGAGATATGGCTCAACGGCAATGATTTGACTGGAACAATCCCAGGCGAGCTCTCGAAGCTCTCACATCTCCAGCAGCTAGTTCTCAGTAGTAACGACATCGGTGGGGAGCTCCCTTCCGGACTCTCCAACTGCACCGAGCTCGTCATTCTCGGGCTGGACCAGAACAAGTTCTCTGGAAATCTCCCTGACAGCTTCGGGAATTTGAGCCGCCTGCTCCTTCTGTCGCTTTCCAGCAACGATCTTGTCGGTTCAATCCCAGCCATATTGCAAAACATGTCGTCTCTGCAGTTCCTCTTCCTCGACAACAACAGCTTCAGCGGCTCCATACCGGACTGGCTTCCCAGGCTCACGAACTTACGAGCCATGAACTTCTCGGTTAACAGGTTCTCTGGGGAGATGCCGGAAAGCATTGGCCGACTTTTTGCCAACGTCCAGCTTTACGACCAGAACAAACGGTCTGTGATGATTCAAACCGAGCAAGGACTCGTCTACAACGGCTTCGCCTTCCCGACCTCCATAGACTTCTCCTTCAACCAGCTGACTGGAAGCATTCCAGCTGCCATTGGCGACCTCTACAAGCTCCAGGGGTTGTACCTGAGCCACAACCAGCTAACAGGTCCCATTCCCGAGTCCCTGGGGAAGGCAAGGAATCTCTCCTGGGTGGAGCTTGCGAGCAATCGTCTCAATGGCTCCATACCATCGTCCGTGGCGGACCTCTCGTTTCTCACCATCTTCGACGTCTCCAACAACAACCTGGTGGGACGGATACCTGACAGCCCGCAACTCTCGCCCATGGACGCGGCTCTCTTCGCTGGGAATCAGCTCTGTGGCTTCACATAAGCTTAGAACAGAGGGACAAGGTGGTAGCGAACAGGACCAAACAGAGGTGATAACACTTGTCAGCGTTGCGATCTTCGTGGCAGCCTTCTTCAACGCGTTCTTCTGGACCTACTTTGCGGCAAACCACAGAGCTCATTCCCATGCTGGCAATCAAATCTCTAGCTCGTCCACCATGTTGCTGCCGTCCTTTCTACCTTCCAGTTCGTAATCCATCACCATCGTGTGACCGCTTGATGAAGTGAACTCTTTTTATCCGCTTTCAAGGCCGCCTCCTGTATAGTCTTGAGCTTATCATGATCCTCCCACAGCCCCGCGCTCCGGTAGATGCTCGCCATCAGAACGTATGCAGCCGAGTCATTCTCGTCGATCTTCGTCAGTGCCTCGAACGCAATCCTCCCCACTTCCACTTACGGCAGGCCCCGAAGACGCTCCTCCAAACCACAGCATCCGCTCTCAAAGGCATGCTCTCGAGGACTTTCAAGGCCTCTTCCACTCGGTTACGAGATCCACCAAGCTGCTGTAGTGATGAATCCTGCAAACAATGCCAGAATCCGGGTCCATTGCCTGGAAAAACTCCCTGCCTCGTTCAACTAGGCCGCCGTGGCTGCAAGCAGTGATGACCGAGACAAATGTGATTGCGTTTGCTCGCACGCCATCTTCTCGCATCTCGCGAAAGGCTTCGAACACGCGCGGCGTGTCACCCTGTTGGCCGAATCCCGTGACCAGTGCATTCCAGGCGACGATATCTCGGACTGCCAGAGATCCAAACAAGTGCTCGGCCGCACTCATAACTCCGCACTTCCTGTAGAAGTTTACTCCCCACAACTTGATCGTCTTCCAGCCCACGCCTGTAAAGCTCAGCCTGGAGTTTCCTTCCAGCTAGGCCGTAAGTCCCGCTACAAGAGTCTGAGAGTTTGGAGCACAGTCCACTCCAAGAGTTCCAGCCCGAGCTCACTCTCACCGTTGTCTATATATCCCTGTATCAAGCTCGTCCAAACGACAACTTCCAGGCTAGGCATGCGTTTGAAAACTGCTCGAGCTTTCACCATATCTCCACACTTGGCATACATGTCCACCAAGCTGCTCCCGACAAATCTGTGCTCGCAGCGTCCAAACTTCGCGGCGAGAGAATGAATCTCCATCCCCTTTTCTAGGCTCTGGATTCGCACTAGCTTTCCATCTTCTCACGGAACAGGTGCCTCGGACGCTGAAAGGTGGACGCAGGCCATGAGCGCAGCAACAAACGTTCTCTCGTCCGGATCGTTCTCCCGAGCCATGCCGAAGAACAGCTCCAAGGCCAGCTTGCTGTCTCCACTTACATCGGCCAGCCATGCCATCGAAGACCTTGCGAGCTTCCTCTAGCTTCTCACACTTCGCGTACATATCGATCAGAGTGTTCCCCACGAACACGTCCTCACAGCACCTGCTGTTTGAAGCCTCACCGTGGATAGCCACCCCGGTTTCCAAGCTCTTTCTCTTCACGAGTTTGCCGTCGACATCCACCGCTTCTTCTCGCATTGCCGAGCTCGCACAGGCGGCAAGCGCAGCAACACACGTCCGAGAGCTTGGACAGCACCCAGATAGCTTCGTATCTTCGAAGAACACGAGAGCCAGCTTGCTTTCCCCGTTGTCCACAAAGCCTTGTATCAAGCTCGTCCAGAGCACGACATCACGACGAGGCATGCTCTCGAAAACCATCCGCGCGTCGACCATGCTCCCACACTTTGAGTACCTGTCACTTGGCTGCTCCCCACGAAGATATCTCCACAGCAGTGGCTTTTCACAGCTCCATCGTGAACACCGAGCTCCTTCTCCAGGCTCTTCGTCTTCACCATCTTTTGGTGGCCTCCTCTTTCACTGCTAGATTCGCACAGCCCTTGGCAGCAGCAACGAAAGTCCGAGAGTTTGGCGAGCAGCCCATCTTCCCAAAGAACTCGAGAGCGACCTCGCTTTCTCCATTCTCTACGTATCCCAGTATCAACGCGTTCCAGGAGACCACGTCTCGCTGTGGCATCTCATCGAAGACCGATCGAGCATCGAGCATGATGCCGCACTTAGCTCGAGAGGAAAACGTCTTCGCTGCAAGACGGTCCCATCTGCTTGGCTTGAGAATGGATGCCTCTGCCGGTCTCGAGACTAGCCTCCTTGACGAGCTTCCCATCGACCAAAACAGCGTCTTCCTTCGCCGCGAGGCTGCTACAAGCCTTTGCCGCGTCCTGGAGTTTGGCTTGCAGCCCGACCGCCTGGCTTGCATCCTCTCGAAGAGATCCAGAGCCACATCGCTCTCGCCATTGGAGACGTAGCCCAGCATCAAGGACATCACGTTTGGGTGAAGAATGCTGTCGAACACGCGGCGGGAATCCTCCATGCTGCCGCATTTCGCGTACATGTCTCCCCAGCTGCTTGCTCTCCGCCGCCTGGGCGTGGATCGCCCAGGCGCAAATTGCCCTAGCGCAAATCCCTTGTGACCTTGAACGCCGACACCTGATCGGGCGCCCGCGGCGGCGCTGCCGAAGGAGCGAATGCTGGTGCGGCGCATCGAATCGCTGCCGTCGCCAAGTCTCATCCATCGCAAGAACCCTAAACATTTGCTAGCAACATGGAAATTCAACCAAGGCCGTCGATTCAAGAATATCTGACGGTTGGAAATGAATCGGGGTGGAAAACCTTAGGAAAAATCGCCCTGGTCGCCCTGAAACTCCGCTGAAAACAGGAACTATGGCGATCAAGCGTAATCGCTCTTAAGACTCTTACCTGTTGAGGCAGCGATTCCTGCTACTCCACCGGAGATCAAGCTCGTCACCATCCTACTCGGGCTTGAAAGTAAACATGCAACGCCAGGAGGCCTAAGCTTGTCAAAACTGTGTTTACCAATGCGATGGTGCTCTGTGCCTGTAAAGCTTTTCCAAAAATTTCTCACACTCTGAAACTAAAAATAATCCAACTTTGAGCGTTCCAGTAGTTGTAGAGAGTGTCATACAAGCAGAAGTTTATCGCAATCGTTGGGCCTATGGCAGGAGTCAAGTCTGTGGCATTTGGCAGGGAGGAAAACCAATACCAAAAGCGTCGTCAGAGTTCCTTATAAAGGCTAAGAAAGCTCTCCTGTATGTGATAGATGCGGACACACAGCAACGTCTACATGCAAGAGCACAAAAGCTGTCAAGGAAACAACCAACAACAAAGATCACAAAGCTCAAGGTGAGGAAATTCAGGAGAAGACTTAGGAACAAGATCCTGAACATGTAACCACCTTGCAGGTTCCAAACTGACAGTCATCAAACCAGTGTAACGTGAACATGACCCAGCAGGAGCAGTCTCCAGCATCTCCACCGCACACAGCAACACTAACACAACCAGCTCTCGATGCCAACAACGATAACATGCCGCATCACCGCAAACACCACAGTTGAGAGCATCCCGAGCAGGAGTGGCACTGCAAGCCTGTGGATCTTAAGCTTGGCATTTCTCCAGTTTGTGGACAAAATGCAGTGTCTCCAGTCAACACCATAGATGTGGATATCAGCAGATTTTTCGAAGCTTTTCGACAAGCAGATGAGCATTTTCATGCGAGACAGAGTCCAATCAGCACCTTTGTCTACCAGCCCCTAGATGTGAAGGTCATGAAGATCCAGAACCATATTCTCTAGCTCAAGAGGAGCATTCAAGGAATCTGTATGCACAAAGACTTAGCGCATGAATAAGGAACTCCCCAAGGAGAATGCAGACCTTCGCAATGAGATCTGACAGCTCAAGGTGAAGCAGCTGTAGGGATAGGGTGCGCTACAACAGAAGAACAAGTTCAAAAATGAGCTCTCAGCAGCAATAAAACAGCCCAATGCCATGAAGAAGTGAGAGCTTCAAGATGAAACTCAACTCAATTGTGGGAGAAAGTGGAGCATAGAAAATCAACCTTATATTTAGAAATATCATCCTAAGTCTTGAAATTTAAATCTTAAGATTGAAGAACATGTAAAATTAATTAAGGAGATGAGTTAACACTCAAACTCTATCTCTTTCTTTTGTACTTTAGCCTTCCATCATCAATGCATGTCCATTTGCTCAAAATCTAAAAAACTTAAGTGATGCTAACTTAGAGTACTTAAGTGATGCTAAGCTTATCTTTGCTCATGACTTCAACAAAAGCCTTTCTAGGGATTGAAAGACTCAAGTCATTCCTTTTTTACTTTTTATATATTTATTTGTGTTTAGCTGAAGTAAAATGCAAAATCAAGTCAAACAAGTGTAGTAGTAAGCATCCACTTTACTCTTACCTTCTTTTATTTTTCATTCTTATTTTCTTTTCCTCTTTCTTTCTTTTCTAGTACAAGCTTTTAGCATACAGACTTTTACCCAAGTTTCTAGGAATGGCTTATTTTAACATTTAAAGGAATGATTGTAAAACACATGAACTTTCAACATTTAAATTGGGATGGATATTTGCCATTTCTTTGGTATACATATATCATAGGGTATAAAGTTCCATTGGTGCTTCACCTTATAAACTTTTATATGGTCATTATTCGATACGGTTAATAGAATTGAGTTTACTTTCGTGATTGCTATAAACTGCCAATATTAAGTTTTGGGATCAATATTTGATGAGCATTCTTCCACTCATTCGAGTAGAGTTTATTAAGCACTTAGGCTGTGTATAAGTGGGATAATAACAACATAATAACTTCCATCATCGTCCACCAATGGAGTACAAAGTGGATGATTTGGTGTTAATCCATTTTCCCAATGTTACAATATATGGTTTGTTTAAGGGGCTCTTTATTCAGTGAAAGGGACTATATTAAGTGTTCTAGTAAGTTAAACTGCACATTTTAAAAGTTTGGCAAAACATTCAACAAACTAATCCTCCAGAAATTATATATATGCAATAACATATATTGCCTACAGCCACCACAGCCACCACCACAGCCACCACCCCAAATCTAGCATCCAACTGCTAAGACAAATTGGTCCATCTCTTTCACCACCCTCTTCTCCTCACATAAACTCCTTAGCCTCAAGCATGTAGAGAGAATGGGCCAGCCTTGTGCCTTGGTATGCCAACTTTGTAGCCAACTTCCACAAGCCTTCCCATGCACGCAACCGGAATGAGAAAGCAGCCAATTTTCTTAGAATTTGCTTATCATAGCCATAGCTTTCTCACTGCTAGCATTCCAATATTCTGCCACATCCTCTCCAAAACATTGAAACTTTGTATCCCACATCAACAATGAGAAGAGTGTCTAGAAATTTCTTCATGAGCTCCACAATCTGCTGCTACAGAGGAGTAAGCTTCTCCTTTCCTGATGGCAACTTTCCATCACAAGAGGAATTTCCATTGGAAGCATCTTATCCCCAATAACATTTACAAAATTTCTATACTTGTGCTTGCAAGAGGATTTAGATGTAGAAGCCAGGTTAGGGTATTGATTGGCTGCATTCTCACCCGGTCGTTTAAGATGACACAACGATTATTCTTGAAGCAGCAGTGCCTAGTATATTTATTATAAGATTCTCATATTATTTTATTAGAATAATATTATTTGTAGGTGAACCATATATTATAGCATACTTCCTAAATCTGAGAGGGAGATGGAAACTCTTTGGCTAATTATTTCCCTGTTGCATTTGTTAGTTATTGCAAGAGTGAAATTTCTGCAATATTTATCTTTAGACTCATTGGTAGATTATAGAAATAACAATTACATTTTAAACACTTATGCAAAGGCTAATTTTCCTCCCTATGGAAGGAAGATTTTTTAGGAATTTAAACATTATCTACTAATTTAAGAGCATTAGATTATATGCAAAATAGTTTTACTTATATTTTCTTCACCATTACTGCCACTATAGTTTTAAAGATAAAATAATCCTTACTTTAGGTAGTGAATTAAATAAAAAATAACACTATTCTTTTATAGATATAAATTTTTTTTATCACACCAAATTAATAGTAAACATTTCTTCTATAAACCTTATACAATGTTTTACTATGAAAGTTCATTTAAGTAAATTTATTTTAAAATTTTTGAATTCAGCTTTATCAAGCTATGTATATATTGGATTTTACTTAATTAATATTTGGTTTTTCCTTGATGTTGGTTTAAATAAATATATTAGTAACTGTTCATTATATAAATGGGAAGAAACTATATTTTGTTGTTTAAATTTTTATTACAATAACTTGAAACATCTTATTACAAAAATTTGAAATTTCTATAATAGGATTTGGATCAGTTAACTCTTTGAATAATAAATTTATTTTATAAATAAAATTATTTACCATATAATCTTGAATAAAATCTAATGAATAATTAAATAATATATTAACTATTTATTTTCAAAAAGACTTTTTACTTGACAGAATTCTTGTTTTTTTCCTTTTATATTGGAGTGTATTTGCAATATTTCTTGTTTTATTTAAAGCCTTCTTCTTTTTTGTTGCCATATCTCTCTGGAAAATTAAATCATAAGATTATTTTCAGAAATTTTAAGCTAACTTCTAATCCCAATTTCCTAATAATAGTGCTAAATCTATGCAATTTATCGTTCATCCAATGCTAATGCCATCCTAATCACGATATTAATGGCTTCCTAATTGCAATCCTAATCCATGTAATCAGTATTAATTATACTCCTAATTGCAAGGTAATGGCACAAACCTAATCACATCCTCTCAAGGATTCAAGGTTTTTTTGATTCAAGCTTTTTGTTCTTTCAATCAAGCATTGCTGAGAGTTGGAATTCGAGGAGTAACGGTGAGCAATGTTCGTGGTTTAGGCACTCAAGGTGGAGCTGTGTTTTCTTTCTTTTTTCCCTGTGGAGAACAAAAGCTTCCAGGAGAAAAGAAACCAGTTCTTACCCTTGATACTTGGGAGTCTCCAAGGTCTAGAAAAAAAGGAGAGAGAAGCAAAGAAATTGGTATCACTGCGTTACCAGTCAGATCCGAGCTCCAAAGAATCCGTCCACATCCTCTATCCTCAGCAATCCAAAAGAAAAGAGAAAGAAAGCTCAAACCTTTCTGTAGCATGTTAAGATCCTTGAGCCCTCCAAGAGCGGTGCATCTATCCCTGCCCTCTCCAAATCCTGGCGCCTAGCACACCCAATGGTGTGTGGGACGAGGCTATTGCCACTGGCCAGCATCGCTCGGTACAGAATCACGCCTTAGCGGCCAAGAAGATTTCCCATTTAGCCCTAAATTCTGACACCTCTTCTTCTCGTGATTGATCTGGCAATTGGATGATTTTATCTGACTCATTCATTTTGACAGCTCATTTAATGAGCCAGCTGAGGCAAATGATATACACTTCTAGGAGTCACTGAGGTATAGAAGTATCTGTGCTGATATCCTTGATCACAGAACTTTGGATATCTAAAACTATTCCCATCCAAAAGTTTTACTTGATCAATCATCATGGATAGCATATGATTTTCCTCTCCTTCCTTAATATTGAACCACTGAACTTTAAAAATAATTCTCTTGAATGATCTAAAGTTTACGTCATAAATATCCATTAATGTACCTGTGTAATATAAAAGTTATCTATAATAATAAGAACGAAGAACCCAGACCCCCACAGCCGTCCGATCCTAGGCTCGGGGCAGCCTTGGAAGCCATGGTTCTCAGCAAGGGGAGGCTAGCCCAGGCTCGGGCCAAGGCCGGTGGCCATGGTTAGCGGGAATATTGGCTCAATGTTGTGGCGGCCAATGGGTGGGATGGATGCGTGGTGGGGAAGGGAAGAGGGCATGGTGACAGGTGTTATGCCATGCACTCCTAGGGCTCCATGGTTGCTCTAGTTGGACATGGTTGTGTGGGCATTCCCATGAGAGCCTGTGCATGGTAAGTAACAGGGGCGAGTAGAATGGTAGTCAAGCACACAATCCAGGCTCCTCTCGGGATCAACTAAGGACTGTGAGAGGCAAATTGGCTCATCTCCAACTCAGCAAAGCTTTGATCCCTATTCACCACTGCCTCATGAGCTTTTTGGCCTGCAGGAAAGCAATTATCAAAGACACTCCCTCTTCATCCCCGGATTCTCTCGAGGAATCCCTTGCTGCTAGGCCTGGTGAGGGATTGTTGTTTCAGCACATGCTCGGGATCAACTCCGTTTGTAGGAACTTGTTTTGAGTTGACATAGGGCTGTCAAGTGGCTGTGCTAGCCAACACTGCTCCTGAAGTTTTGGAAATCCGACATGGCACTGATGTCTGGGTTCGAGAGAGAGAGAAGGAGAGAAGTAGAAGGTGCCACCACAAGCATCCCGCCAACTGTTGGGAAAGGATGGGAAAGCTGGCATCAATCGGTTTGTTGCAGTAGCCCATGGATAAAACTGTAGTCCATGGATAGATGTATGACATTATAGTCAGCATTCCAGAATCAATCCTAAGATAAATTTGTTTAGTATGATCATGTTAAACTAACAAAATTCACCTACATTGTCTGGAGTTCAGTCAAGCCTGCAAATGATGGAACTGGCTGAGGAGAAAAGGAGTTGTTTCCAACGCTTCTGTTATGCATACACATGCATCAGGTCAACTCCAAGTTAAGAAGAAATATTACATTAGTTGGAGAGCTTTCAACCTGCTTAGATCAGGTAACGTTCCAGTAAAAGCATTATCATTGATGTGTCTGTAAATGAAACAAAACTTGAGTGCAAAGTAGTTACCATATTAGCTATTTACATTTCAAAGAGGGTTGATATCCGCCCCAAACTGCTCGGCAGTGATCCAGCAAATTGATTTTTGTCAAGTCTCCTGAAAATACACTATTACACGAGATTGTATTCTAGCCATCAATGACTTACATGATGGTCAGCTTGGAAAAGTTTCCAATTTCATCAGGAACTTCTCCAGAGAAGCTGTTATTGTCCAGTAACCTGAAGGACAACAGGTCCAAAAACCTCCAAGAAAATGAGAAAGATACGTACAAGTGCTTGAGTTCAGGTAAGAAATATATTTCTAGCGCGTCCACCTCTTTGTAAACCACCCAACATTTGCTGGGCAAGTACTCGTAAAAAACTAAGATAGATCAAAATACATACCTGGAAAATCAATATGAGGTTGTTGTGGATTCCTTAACGTAATTATAATGCTGTCCATTGTTTTCTTATTTGCATCAATTTGAGAAACTCTAAAATGCTTTCCATTAATCTAATATACTGTATAACTCATGGCCTAAAATTTAAAACTAATTAATGATTAGTTAATATTAATTATGACTTTGCGTCCATTACCCAAATCCTTAAAAACATTTGATACTGATTCACCTCTTTGAATAGTATATTGTATGATTTCATATATAATAGCCATAGTAGGTAATAGTGGTAGCTATTTTAAATTTTCAGGAATCTATTGGTTTGGATGGTCAATCACATATTGCATTCTTGCATTATCTTTGCTTGTTGATACTTTTGAAGGATAAGTTGCATTTCCTCTACATTAAAGTAAATATATAGAGAAATATTTTCATATGCTTCTTAACTAAGTTGAATTTGTTTTTCTAGATGCTACAATCGAATACTACTATAATCAAATGGAGATATAAACTATGAAATACTTGAGCAAATTAGCACTAAAATATTATGCATATAAAAACTCTTTTTTAATAGCAGACCTTCAGCTATAAATCTTCAAGTTTTACTTTTTGTCTTACCAAAGATTTTAAAACCCTTAAATAACACTCAATAAAAAATATATCTCAGCTAGTTCCAGGACCAACCATCTTTAACTCATCACTTAATTATACTAATAAATGAACTTGTGTTGTCATAGCTGTTGTAAATAATGTTGCTTCCAATAAACACACATAAATAATAGACTTTTCTTTCATAATAAATTTCAAAGATCTATCTACTTCTTGAGCAGTTTAAAATCTAATTAAAATTAAAATTAATTGAATTAAAAAAATTAAATCAATTATTACCATACAACTTCTCCAAGAAAATATATTACTTCCCATAATTGAGGTGTTGTGTTTTTCATTATAACAATGAGATAAAAATTGTACAAAATATGTTAATTTACGTTTTAGTAAATTTAGAAACTTATTTATAGTAAATGAAGCCAATTGTTTTCATACCTATTAAATTACCTTTCTCATCGACACAATTTGAAAATTGAGTTCCATATGTTTTAAGCACTTTAAAAGCCTCTATATTATCAATAAATAATTTATTTTAATAACTTGTTAATGTCAAAATTCCATGATTAATTTTTCCATCACATCACAACCATATGTTTTACATTATTCTGCACATAACTAAGTCTAAACTAAATTTAGAAACTTACTCATAGTAAATGAAGCCAATTGTTTTCATACCTATTAAATTACCTTTCTCATTGACACAATTTGAAAATTCAGTTCCATATATTGTAAGCACTTTAAAAGCCTTTATATTATAAATAAATAATTTATTTTGATAACTTGTTAATGTCCAAGTTCTATGATCAATTTTTCCATCACTTCACAACCGCATATTTTACCTTATTCTATACACAACTAAGTCTTTTCTATTACTTAATTCATCATTTTTACCAGTAATAGTTTTATATATAGTTTCAAAAAAATTCTTAAATATATGCATGTAATCCTTTAAAAATGCTACTGGAAACTTATAAAAATATAGAAGTTGATAAAATGTGAATATAACCATTTCATACCATTAGGTAACGATATTTGATCTTCTTGTTTAACCAAATAATAATATGTTGCCTAACGTTTTGGAGTCATCTGTCCTAGTATTGGTCAAATATAATTATGACCATTAAATAAACTAATTAAAATTAAATTTTATTTTATGTTTTAGAAATAATAACTAAAATCTTACATTCTATTAGTAGACCTAAATGGATGATCCATAGGTAAGAAACACCAATATCCAATATATATATGCATTTTTATAAATTTCATGACTATATTCCAAGGATCTAGGTCCACAGTTTAGGTAAAAGTATTTTCCTATTAATTTGAACTCCTGAATAAAATCATAATCCAAGAAAATTATGAATAAACTATCACATTGCTTCTCTAAGCTTAAAAAACTGTTAACCTTCTAACTTATAATTATCTTTGCATGGCACTCCATCCCATAATTGTTTCAACTCTTCCAAAAATAATGACCAATAAATATTAGGTACCTTAGGGAGTTTTTAATCTAATATCTGGTATAATCATAATAAGAAATATAAATTAATTGCTAGAGTTGGTGGTATATTATTATTAATTGCAAAAATTGCCTAACATGAATATATTTTTGCCATTAATTTTGTTGGAGAAAGATCATTTTCAGCCATAGTAAAATGTATATTTTTTGGATCTACTGCAAAATTTGGGTAATCATCTTTGAGTTTTTTTTAAATTGAACCATCTGCAGGCATTCTCATTATTCCATTAGTGGACTGATGATCAAATGATAAATGATGTATTGTGTTATTTCTCTACATTGAAATTATTATTGAAGTCAAGGTATAATAGAGAAATAGTCCATTATTTTCTTAGGTATATAATTGTTAAAATCTGTGTGCTTGTTAGCAATAGAAATTTGACAAAATTAAAGGTCCATATTCTCCTTATGAAATAACATAAAATCATTGATGCATAAATCAATCTTTTTATAGGTAAGTCCATTATGTTTAGTGATATTTACCACTTCCTTAAATATATTTGAAAATTTTTATTTGTAGGCAACATTTTAGTCACAGTTTAAAAGTTGTAAATTGCAGCTCTAATTAGCAACATATATGAGCTTATCTAGCTTTAAAGAATATGTTACTGCAAATTATTATTTATATTTTAGTTGTAAAGGACAACTATAATTTCCAACTTAAATTTGAGTAACTATAAAGCTATCACAAATTACAACTTAAATTTTGTAACTAAAGCCAATTTGCTACTAACATTTAAGTTGAGTTGATTACAACTTAAATTTCCAACGAACACAAAAATTTCGTTGGAAAAACATATCATTATAATGCTTTTACGGACTGGCAGAAGTCAAGTCTAAGTCTTGACCTGTCGAAGTCCACATTCTATCCACTGTGGCCAAAAAATCACCACAAAAAAAAATTGTGCAAAAATCTATGTTATGTAATATAGTTGATAGCCCAGTATACCAATGGCAAATCCCAAGTCCCCCACTTTATTGACTAGCAAGGCTTTTATCAAGGCCCTTTGCTAGTCAATAAAGTCAATAAAGTATTTTTACAATGGTAAATCCCAAGTCCCCCACTTTATTGACTACCTCAATTGACTCGAAGTCAAGTGTGCCAAGAATTGATTAGCAAATGTGCGTGTAAACTCTTACAAAAAAAAAGAAGAACCTCAGCTTTCATGATAGCGTTCACTCTTTGATGTTCTGATCCATGGCCATGTCTCTCGCGGATTTGCTGCTGCCTTTGTTTCTACTCGTCTTTCTCACAAGATCCCGGTCACAGTGCCCCACAAATCCATCCGCAATCGTGAACGACACACAGGTTCTTCTCTCTCTCCGTGACAGGCTTGGCATCAAAGTGTGGAACGAGACTGCCAATCCAAGAGCATGGCGGGGAGTGGAGTGGAGCTCGGACAACCAAGTGGAGGGCCTCGCTCTGTCCAGGTTTAATCTCTCGGGAGTTTTTCCTGCCACCTGGGCCGAGCTTCCATCGCTGGCTCGCCTGGACCTCTCGCAAAACGGCCTCTCCTCGCTGGAAGTCCCTTGCAAAAATACGCAGCTCAACCTCCTCAACTTGAGCTCCAATTCCCTGCAAGAGTTCCCCGGAAATCTCTCCAGCCTCGAGAGTTTGGAAAGCCTGGACCTCAGTGGGAACTTCTTAACAGTGGCCGGACTCCCAAAGTTTAGCTTGACGCTGCGATCGCTCAACCTGTCCATCAACAACTTAACTGGGAGCTTTTCCATTGGTGGTAACCTGGGACTGGAGGCACTGGAACTCTCGCACAACGGACTCAGCGGCTCCATTCCAGAAACTTTCGGGGAGATGACGAACTTGACGCGCCTGGACATATCGTATAACAGGTTTAGAGGAGATCTACCCGATATTTGGAGCAAGAACTTGGAGCTCAGGTACATGCGTATCTCCAAAAATTCGCTCCAGGGTGGTTTGCCACCGAGCTTGAGAAGGCTACGCAAGCTCTCGGAATTACGCGCTGCATACAACTGTCTCTCCGGGCCACTGGAGCTGGAAGATGGCGACTTTGCAAGCATCGAGGTTTTGAACCTCGGGCTAAACGGGTTTAGCGGAACGATCCCGGCTACGCTGGGAGGCTTGAGGAACTTGAAGATCCTGGATCTCAGGGGGAATCGTTTTAGTGGCGCCATCCCAGGCGAGCTCTCGAAGCTCTCGCATCTCCAGCTGCTGGTTCTCACGGGGAATCGTTTTAGTGGTGCCATACCTCCGGAGCTTGGAAACTGTTCGAACATCAGAGGGATACGCCTCGACAGCAATTACTTGACTGGAACAATCCCAGGCGAGCTCTCGAAGCTCTCACATCTCCAGCAACTAGTTCTCAGCAGCAACGACATCGGCGGGGAGCTCCCTTCCGGACTCTCCAACTGCACCGTGCTCGTCGTTCTCTGGCTGGGAAAGAACAAGTTCTCTGGAAATCTCCCTGAGAGCTTCGGGGATTTGAGCCGCCTGCTCATTCTGGAGCTTTCCAGCAACGATCTTGTCGGTTCAATCCCGGCCATGTTGCAAAACATGTCGGCTCTGCAGTTCCTCATCCTCGAAAACAACAGATTCAGTGGCTCCATACCGGACTGGCTTCCCAGGCTCACGAACTTACGAGCCATGGACTTCTCGGTTAACAGGTTCTCTGGGGAGATGCCGGAAAGCATTGGCCGACTGTTTGCCAACGTCCAGCTTTACAACAAGAGCAAACGGCATATGATGATTCAAACCGGAGGACTCGTCTACAACGGCTTCGCCTTCCCGACCTTCATAGACTTCTCCTTCAACCAGCTGACTGGAAGCATTCCAGCCGCCATTGGCGACCTCTACAAGCTCCAGGTGCTGGACCTGAGACACAACCAGCTAACAGGTCCCATTCCCGAGTCCCTGGGGAAGGCAAGGAATCTCTCCAAGGTGTGGCTCGCGGGGAATCGTCTCAATGGCTCCATACCATCGTCCGTGGTGGACCTCTCGTTTCTCACCATCTTCGACGTCTCCAACAACAGCCTGGTGGGACGGATACCTGACAGCCCGCAACTCTCGCCCATGGACGCGGCTCTCTTCGCTGGGAATCAGCTCTGTGGCTTGCCACTGACCAACACCTGTTCGAGCACTGCTATGCTGCCACATAAGCTTAGAACAGAGGGACAAGGTGGTAGCGAACAGGACCAAACAGAGGTGATAACACTTGTCAGCGTTGCGATCTTCGTGGCAGCCTTCTTCAACGCGTTCTTCTGGACCTACTTTGCGGCAAACCACAGAGCTCATTCCCATGCTGGCAATCAAATCTCTAGCTCGTCCACCATGTTGCTGCCGTCCTTTCTACCTTCCAGTTCGTAATCCATCACCATCGTGTGACCGCTTGATGAAGTGAACTCTTTTTATCCGCTTTCAAGGCCGCCTCCTGTATAGTCTTGAGCTTATCATGATCCTCCCACAGCCCCGCGCTCCGGTAGATGCTCGCCATCAGAACGTATGCAGCCGAGTCATTCTCGTCGATCTTCGTCAGTGCCTCGAACGCAATCCTCCCCACTTCCACTTACGGCAGGCCCCGAAGACGCTCCTCCAAACCACAGCATCCGCTCTCAAAGGCATGCTCTCGAGGACTTTCAAGGCCTCTTCCAGTCGGTTACGAGATCCACCAAGCTGCTGTAGTGATGAATCCCGCAAACAATGCCAGAGTCCGGGTCCATTGCCTGGAAAAACTCCCTGCCTCGTTCAACTATGCCGCCGTGGCTGCAAGCAGTGATGACCGAGACAAATGTGATTGCGTTTGCTCGCACGCCATCTTCTCGCATCTCGCGAAAGGCTTCGAACACGCGCGACGTGTCACCCTGTTGGCCGAATCCCGTGACCAGTGCATTCCAGGCGACGATATCTCGGACTGCCAGAGATCCAAACAAGTGCTCGGCCGCACTCATAACTCCGCACTTCCTGTAGAAGTTTACTCCCCACAACTTGATCGTCTTCCAGCCCACGCCTGTAAAGCTCAGCCTGGATTCCTTCCAGCTAGGCCGTAAGTGCTACAAGAGTCCGAGAGTTTGGAGCACAGTCCACTCCAAGAGTTCCAGCCCGAGCTCACTCTCACCGTTGTCTATATATCCCTGTATCGAGCTCGTCCAAACGACAACGTCCCGGCTAGGCATGCGTTTGAAAACTGCTCGAGCTTTCACCATATCTCCACACTTGGCATACATGTCCACCAAGCTGCTCCCAGCGTCCAAACTTCGCGGCGAGAGAATGAATCTCCATCCCCTTTTCTAGGCTCTGGATTCGCACTAGCTTTCCATCTTCTCGCGGAACAGGTGGCTCGGACGCTGAAAGGTGGACGCAGGCCATGAGCGCAGCAACAAACGTTCTCTGGTCCGGATCGTTCTCCCGAGCCATGCCGAAGAACAGCTCCAAGGCCAGCTTGCTGTCTCCACTTACATCGGCCAGCCATGCCATCGAAGACCCTGCGAGCTTCCTCTAGCTTCTCACACTTCGCGTACATATCGATCAGAGTGTTCCCCACGAACACGTTCTCACAGTACCTGCTGTTTGAAGCTTCACCGTGGATAGCCACCTCGGTTTCCAATCTCTTTCTCTTCACGAGTTTGCCGTCGACATCCACCGCTTCTTCTCGCATTGAGAGGAAAACGTCTTCGCTGCAAGACGGTCCCATCTGCTTGGCTTGAGAATGGATGCCTCTGCCGGTCTCGAGACTAGCCTCCTTGACGAGCTTCCCATCGACCAAAACAGCGTCTTCCTTCGCCGCGAGGCTGCTACAAGCCTTTGCCGCGTCCTGGAGTTTGGCTTGCATCCTCTCGAAGAGATCCAGAGCCACATCGCTCTCGCCATTGGAGACGTAGCCCAGCATCAAGGACATCACGTTTGGGTGAAGAATGCTGTCGAACACGCGGCGGGAATCCTCCATGCTGCCGCATTTCGCGTACATGTCTCCCCAGCTGCTTGTTCTCCGCCGCCTGGGCGTGGATCGCCCAGGCGTAAATTGCCCTAGCGCAAATCCCTTGTGACCTTCAACGCCGACACCTGCTGATCGGGCGCCCGCGGCGGCGCTGAATGCTGGTGCGGCGCATCGAATCGCTGCGTCGCCAAGTCTCATCCATCGCAAGAACCCTAAAAATTTGCTAGCAACATGGAAATCCAACCAAGGCCGTCGATTCAAGAATATCTGACGGTTGGAAATGAATCGGGGACCATTAGCCTGGAAAAACCTACAATGTGCCTCAGCGCGCTCGCAATCCCAGGCTTGTAAGCCGGTGTCCATCTCCGGTCGCCCTCGAGTTAAGTCGATCGGAAACACCGCTGAAAACAGGAACTATGGCGATCAAGCGTAATCGCTCTTAAGACTCTTACCTGTTGAGGCAGCGATTCCTGCTACTCCACCGGAGATCAAGCTCGTCACCATCCTACTCGGGCCTGAAAGTAACCATGCAATGCCAGGAGGCCTAAGCATGTCAAAACTGTGTTTACCAATGCGATGGTGCTCTGTCTTTTCCAAAAATTTCTCAGGGAAACTAAAAAGAAATCCAACTTTTAGCATTCCAGTAGTTGTAGAGAGTGTCATACAAGCAGAAGTTTATCGCAATCATTGGGCCTATGGCAGGAGTCAAGTCTGTTGCATTTGGCAGTGAGGAAAACAATACCAAAAGCGTCGGTCAGAGTTCCTTATAAAAGCTAAGAAAGCTCTCCTGTTGATGGATTGTTTTCCTCACTCCTTATAAAAGCTAAGAAAGCGTGTGATAGATGCGGACGCATGGCAACATCTACACGCAAAAGCACAAAAGTTGTCAAGGGAACAACCAACAACAAAGATCACAAAGCTCAAGGTGAGGAAATTTAGGAGAAGACTCAGGAACAAGATCCTGAACATGTAACCACCTTGAGGTTCCAAACTTACAGTCGTCAAACCGAAGTGTAATGTGAACATGATCCAGTAGGAGCAGTCTCTAGCATCTCCACCGCACACAGCAACACTAACACAACCAGCTCTCAACGCTGACACCGACAACATGCTGCATCACCGCAAACACCACAGTTGAGAGCATCCCGAGCAGGAGTGATGCTGCAAGCCTGAGCTTACACCAGATCTTAAGCTTGACATTTCTCCAGTTTGTGGACAAAATGCACTGTTTCCAGCCAATGCTACAGATGTTGATACCAGCAGATTTTCCAAGGCTTTTCCACGACAAGCAGATGAACATTTTCATGTGAGACAGAGTCCAATCAACACCTTTGTCTACCAGCCCCTAGATGCAAAGCTCTCAAACATCCAAAACCATATTCTCCAGCACAAGAGGAGCATTCGAGGTACAGCTTTCTAGGGATCTGTATGCGCAAAGACTTAGCACATGAACGAGGAACTCCCCAAGGAGAATACAGAACTTTGCAATGAAATCCAGCTGTAGAGATAGGGTGCACTACAATAGAAGAACAAGTTCAAGAATGAGCTCTTTGGAATCATAGCAGTAACAAAACAGCCTAATGCCATGGAGAAGTGAGAGCTTCAAGATGAAACTCAACTCAATCGTGGAAGAAAAGTGGACCATAGAAAATCAACTTTATATTTAAAAACATCATCCTAAGTCTTGAGATTCAAACTTTGAGACTCAAGAATAGGAATGAGTGGCAGTTGCCCTATGTAAAACTAATTAAAGGGGTGAGTTAACACAAACTCTATCCCTTTCTTTTGTACTTTAGCCTTCTATTATTAATGCATATCCATATGCTCAAAATCTAGAGTACTCAAGTGATACTAACTTTATTTGCTCATAACTTCAACAAAAGCCTTCTTAGAGATTGAAGGACTTAAGTCATTCCTTTTTTACTTTTTATGTGTTTATTTGTGTCTAGAGCAAAATGCAAAATCAAGTCAAACAAGTGTAGTAGCAAACATCCATTTTACTCTTACCTTTTTTTCTCTTTCACTCTTATTTTCTTTTCCTCTTTCTTTCTTTTCTAGTACAAACTTTTAGCACACAGACTTTTACCCAAATTTCTAGGAATGGCTTATTCTGACCTTTAAAGTGATGATTGCAAAATATATGAACTTTCAACATTTAAATTGAGCGGAATATTTGGTATCTCTTTGATATATATATATATATAAAATTCCATTGGTGCTTCACCATATTAACTCTTATATGGTTATTATTTGATACTGCCAACAAAGTTAAGTTTACCTTTGTGATTGTTATAAACTACTGATGCTAGGTTTTGGGATCAATATTTGTTGAGCATTCTTCCATTTATTTGAGTGGAGTTTATTGAGCATTTAGGCTATATATAAGTGGGATAATAACAACACAACAACTTCCATCATTATCCATCAGTGAAATACAAAGTGGATGACTTGGTAATAACTCATTTTCCTTATGTTACAATATATGGTTTGTCTAAGGGGCTCCTTATTCAGTGGAACAAACCATATTAAATATTGTGGTAAGTTAAACTACACATTTATAAGGTTTGGTAAAATATTCAACAAACCAATCCTTTAGAAATTATATATATGCAATAACTTAAACGCTTTGTATAAAGGGATCAGGCACCATCTACAGATCCACCAATGCCTCCTCTTGATGTTCCTCTAAATCCTAGCCTGTCAACCTGAAAACCTTAACTACCTTTCATCCTTCTAAAAACATAATGTGAGGTCTAAGTGTATAATTATGATGTTGTATATAAATATTAGTATAGTGGTATTTTGATAGTCATAAGATTGACTACAGATTTTTGATAATTCATACAAAGCTAAACCTTAATTAAATTGTATAAAAAACTTCACATTGATGTTAATCATATTAGTCAAACAACAGTACTTAAGTAATCTAATTTAACAAAATTTAATTAATTTATACACTATCATTAGTTGTGAGTGCTTGGAATATGGAAAGGGAATACAGAAAATGTGCATCTCAATTAGCCCAAATACCCTAGCTTATATACAAGAGCGAGTGGTCCAGATTGAAACCAATCCGACGGCTACTAAAATTCTACTACGCTAATATTAGTATACAGCATCGTAGCCATACACTTGGCCCTCACATCATCCCCTCCTCTCGGAATAATGGAAGACCATCAGGGTTCTCTTGTAGACGGGCCGGGATTGGGAGGAACGTTAGAAGGAGGCATACTTGCCGCAACACTCGATATAGTCCTTTCCACTGCGCAAGGAGCCCCTTAGATAAACCACATACCGTAAGATGGGGAAAACAGACTAACACCAAATCATCCACTTTGTACTCTGCAAGTGGACGATGATGGGAGTTATAGTGCCATTGTTGTCCCATTTGTACGTGGCCTAAGTGTGTGGCAAATTTAGCTCGGACAAGTGGAAGAATGCTCGTTAAATATTGATCCCACGACCAAGCATCGGCAGCTCATGGCAAGGTAAACCCAACTCCATTGGTAATATTGGATCATAACCATATAAAAGTTTATATGGTGAAGCACCAATAGAACTCTGCACCCCCGTGACATATGCATACCGAAGAGACGGCAAATAACTATCCCAATCCGAATGCTGAAAGTTCATATACTTCGTAATCATCCTTTTGAATGTCTGAATGAGCCGTTCCACCAGACTGTCTAATTGTGGATGATAAGCACTTGTGAAAGTGTGGCGTATCCCCAACCGAGACGTCAAAACATGAAATGCCTTAGCCACAAATGCGGGACCATTATCCGAAAGAATTTGCTTTGGACAAGAATGCTGGAACACCACTCGATTGAGGAGGAAGTATCCAACAGTAGTTGCAAAGGTGCTAGCAAGAGCACCAACTTCCACCCAACGAGTCAAGTAGTCAGAAACAATAATAACATACTCATTGCTAACAATCGATTGTGGAAAGGTCTTATAAGATCAAATGCTACTAACTCAAATGGACGGGAAATTACAATTGACTCCAACCGTCCTTTGGCAACACGAGGAGGAGTATTACGAGCTTGGCACCAAATGCAACTATGCACATATCGAATAATATCATGTCGCATCTCCGGCCAATAGAAAGACCTGTGCAGCTTCTTGGTTACACGACGATGTCCCATATGCCCACCTAGAATAGGAGAATCATGGTAGGCATGGAAAAACTGCGAAATAAAGACAGAAGACACCACCAGCCATAAATGATTATCAAGATCCGTCCCCACAAAATAAAGAAGGCCGTCTCTTCAAGGCAATATTGAGAATGTAAATGCCAAAAAGGCAAATCATTAGCAAGTGATGCAGGATTCTCAAACCCATCTCGAATCTTTCGAATCCATGGCTCAATCTTTTGAGCATTGCAAACCTCATCAAGAGAAAGTAAATTTTGCTTTGCACCTTGTAGACATTGAACGTCAAGTATAACAACTGCCGATGGCAATGAATCCTCGTCTAAAAAATCCACAGATGTAGGAACAACAGGTTCGTCAAAAATATGAGAAGAGAGTGGAAAAGGAAGAGGAGTTCGAGAAAGGATATCAGCATTAGCCATAGAACTCCCTGGGTGATGAATAACATCAAAATCAGTTATTTGAAGCTTCAAAGCCCATCGAGCAATACGACCAACCAGGTTCTTCCACTTCAATAATGAAGTAATAGCAGCATGGTCACCTTCAAGTAACGTCCGAGAACTATGTAGATATGCATGAAGTTTCTTGAAACCCCAGACTATTGCTAAATACTCCTTCTTTGTTGTGGAGTAGTTTATCTCCGCTGGTTGTAATGTACGGCTTATATATGCAATGGGATGGTGCTGACTAGGCACATTCGAGCTCTCTTGCATCAATACACCTCCAAGACCAATGTCAAAAGCATCCACACGCAAAATAAAAGGTTGAGTGTAGTCAGGATATGCCAAAATCGGAAGAGTTGTTAATAGCTCTTTGAGATCCACGAACACCCACTCACAATTCGGAGACCAGATGAAAGATGACGCTGATGACTTCAGCAACACTCGCAACAGTGCAATACAATCAGAAAGATGATCCACAAAACAACCAAGATACTGCACCTTGCCCAAGAAGCACTGCACATCATTCATACACTTCGGAGTAAGGAACTTTAGAATAGCCACAAGTTTGTCAGGATCAACTTGCAAACCCTTACGAAAAACACGG